TTCCATCTTCTCAATAAGCTGCCATCCTGTTCTCACCCCATCTGATTTCCAAAAGGCCAAGGGCTTGAGCAGTCTGAGGTAGCTGTTAAGGGATCAGGGGAGGATCATTGTGGACTGAAAAAATCTTGCATTTCAGTCACCATCTGGGAAAATACCAGAAACTGAACTGGGCAACTGAAAGAGCAAGGTGAGTGACTCCTCATAGCTTGAGCAGAACAGCAGCCCTGAAGACCTCAGATGGAATCAGCTGTAGTCTGGTGTAGGGCAGCCCAGAGAAGGTCACGTACTCAGACACACAACTAGGCTGTGTTTGTACTAACTTTGCCAGTTCTGAATGCTGTCTAGGAAGAGAAGGCTCCAGTCTCTGTGTGTCCTTCATTTGACTACATTCATGTCAGTCAGAGAGTGAAGGACATCTCACTGAATTGTTTCCAGTAAACTTTCTAAAGCCACCCCTGCCCTGGCCTCTCTGTTTAGTCACCAGCTCTCTCTGCTTAGTGCAGAAATAGCTCCTTTCGTACACCTTGTCCTGAGGAGAGTGTTGTTACCTGGCAGCGCTTCCTCCTTTGAATCAAAGGTCTGGAGATTAAAATCATGGTATTAAATTGCACCAAAGTCTTCTTCAGCCTCCTGTAACGCTTCCTAGAGGGATGAGAAAAGAGAAGAATTGGCTAATGAGGGAAGCATCAGCAACACACACACACATAGAGCAGGCCAGGAGCCAACATGAGGAGGGGCCTGGCCAGGCACATCCCCACCTGGCTGTCCTGGGCAGGGCCAAAGGGCTGTTCCTGGCCTGGCCTTTGACTCCTGACCTTGCCTGGTAGCCTCGGAAGTGAGCCTGAATGACTGTGACTTTCTCCTGGAGGACACGGAGGCGTCTGCGGTGAAGGAGGCACCGGAATTTCCTCTGCAGAGTAACAACAGCCCAGCTCTGCCTCTGGATCCATCGTCGCTCCAGCAGCTGCCTGGCCTTCTCCTTCAGAAACACCTGGGCAAAGGCAGCAGCTGCTGACCCACGAGGGAAGCAGCAGCTTCTCTAAGAGCTGGGCAGTAATAAAAGCTGCTGGTTTCTCTCTTTGCAGCCTTTAAGGGTTCCTGCTGCAGAAGCTGGGGAGAGCAGGAGGCACAGGTGCAGAGACAGATATGGATGCATTTGGGGAGGACAAGGAATCAAGGAGTGATGAAGATTAGTAGACAGCAAAGGGAGAAGCCCAGATCTCCATTAAGGAATGCTGGGTGTACAAAGGAGTTGGCCGTGCTACTACAACAACGTGGAGCCAGATTCTCCTGTTTATCTGAAATGCTAAAAATGCCTCCTTGAGACGAGAGGCAAAGCATGAGAGGGGAAGGCATGAAACATCCTCTCCTTGGGATCTCTGTGCCTTGCCAGCCAGGGGACTGGTGGCTGGGCCTGTGGATTAAGATGGGGTTCTCTGTAGGCATCACCTTTGTTACTCCAATCTGATAGAGATCCGAGGGGTTCCCCAGCACACGAGCCAGCACTGCTGCACAGCCTTCTCTCTCCTCCAGGCAGCTGAGCCCTCGCCCAGCCAGGAGCCCATACCTGGGAGATGAGGTGTCCATGTGACAGAAGCCAGGGCTGTAACTCGAGCCCGAAGAGAAATCACAAGTATGTTGACAAGTTCATCCAAGGCCAAGTGGCTGGGGAATCCCAATCCTGTACCTGGCCAGGAAGTTCCGGAATGGAAGACGGATGGGGTATCCCTCCTTTCTGATGTGGATAGCCTCCAGTATCCCAGAATGTCGCAGCTGACAAGTGACATATTCCACATCAAAGATATTTGACAGCTGTGAAGATAAGGCAGAAGAAAAATTAAAAACAAGAAATAATTAAAAAAAATAAAGGAAGCATAAGGCAGAGAGTTTAGAAAGGGTCTCCTTCTGTTGTCCTGTCCTGAGTTTAGATCTTGCCATGATCTCTGAGCAATGGAATGCAAAATCCAATGCACTATTTGGTGTCCAAATGACAGTGGCTTCTGTTCCTCCAGCACAGGGTTAACTCACATGGCCACAGGGCAGGGTGGGAGACAGAGAAAGGGGAAGAAGAGTCCCAAGCTACCAAATGAAGCAAAGAAGTTCAAATCCCAGCTGTGAAAGGAGAGCTGTTGGAGAAGAATAGACTTCAAGGAACTGAAGTACTCCATAAGGAGCTCAGGGTGCTGCCCTACCTTTTTGGGATTAGGGGTGATGCACCGAATGAAGAAGGCATGGCTCCTGGAAAACAGAAGGAAGAACCTTTGATCACCCTCCTCTCTGTGCTGACCCTGGAGGACTTCACACATTTCTGGGTGCAACAGCATCTCTCACCTTCTCAGCTTGGCTGTGAGGTCCTGCAAAGACTGCTGGAATTTGGACACCAGTGTGGAGGCCTGAGGCTTGAGCCCTTTGCCCCTCGGCCCCAGCTTCCTTTGCTGACTATAGGCAGCTTTAGCCTTCTGGAAAATGTGAGACACCACCTGCAAAAACAAAGAAATGAACAAAATTCCCTGAACTACAAGGAAAGAATGATCTCTTCTACCTGAAACTACCCTCAGGCAGTCTGTGCATTTTATATAAAATGCATCAAATATTTGCAAAGACAACTTGCTCAATTCCCAAGTGTTCTTCAGTAAAACAGAACTCTTCATGGTTTCTCCAGGTTCTCCTGACATCTGATCAGGACCTTTCTGCTTCTCATGTGAAAGCAATGAGTGGCTCATTAGGTGTCTGCAACAGAGATCTTCCTCCTGAACCACTGCAGTACCTTGAGGCGGCTCTGAGAGAAGATGTCCAGCACCTCTGGACACAGCTGGTCACGGTTTTTATTAAGAAACTTGTGAACCTGCAGAGACAAAGTCTGGTTTAATGCACCAGTCAGACCAGGCAGACAGGCAAACACCCCTCTTAAACACACCTTGACTGGGGGAACAAGAGGAAAGCCCTGGAGAATGAAGCTGGCTCTTCCTGCTGCCACCAAGAGTGGAGGGGACAATGACTTCTGCTTTTAGGAGGGATTGCTCCTCTTCCCTTCACATTGCCCAGCAGGCTTTGACCTCTCACTTTTTTTCAGCAGCAATAGCTTTCCTGGACTTCCAGGGCTCTGGGACATGCAGTGCAGGCTATTGTGTCACTGAGGTCAATAACTATTTTGCTTCTGCCCACAGGCAGCTAAGTTGCTTCTCCCGTTAAGAATCTTCTAATTTGTGATAAACTGATGCTCTAGAGGGATGTGGAGTTACTAAGGGAGGGTTTTGGTCACAGGACTGGGAGCTGGTCCATCAGGACACCCACAGCTTGTCTCCAAGCTGGGCTATTGCTCCAGCTGCTCTGAGCCTCTGCCAGCTCACCTGGTAGGTGACAGGGCCTGCATAGTGCTTCACAGTGAACACTGGCAAGGGCAGCTTGGGCTTGGTGTACCAGGGGCTGTTTCCATGATGGTAGTGACACTTTTGGAGGAAAGTGTGGTCTGTGGCCTGTAAAGGAGATGACAAATATTCCCTGCTGCTGCAACGTATTCAACAGACTGAAAAGCTGCTGTTAAACCAAAGGAAAAACCATCTAATACTGGTGCAGACACAGTAGCTGTTCAGTCTGGATAACAACTTCACCATAATCACCCTGTGAAAGGGATTACACGAGAGGCCAAGAGCTTCTCACCTGAGTCAGTGATGTCTGGTCATCCAGGATACACAAGATGCCGTGGGGTTTTGCAGTGAGGAAATCGAGGCACGACTCGCTGTACATCTTGGAAATAGGAATCCAAGCTAACTGCTCTTGTCTGTATTCCTCCTGCATGTTAAAGGCCAAATCAAGCCATGCAGACAAGAGCAAATGGAGGGAGTTAACAAGAGGGATTTGGTTCGTTCATCAGGAAGTTGGTGTTCCACTGCTGTTAGGAACTTGCCTAGAATTATCTGGTTCTGTCTTATGAAACTTCTTCTAAAGCCACTAATGATTGTCCTAATTTAAGAGAGGAAGGCTGCTAAGCAGAGTGGTAAAGTGAACTGTAAAAGGCAAAAAATACGACAAATACACTTTCATCCCCAGTACACAAATGGTACATAAAATGCTACAAAGAAGCCAAACAGGCTTTAAAAGTACTGGCTGAGGTCTGGGATCCTTCATCCTGGCCAACTCACTTATAAAACCTGCAAAAGGGAGCAATGCACTAACAAACTCTCATTCTCTTAATTTTACCTTAATTTACCACAGAACTAGTAAAAATACTGAATAGGCTCTTTGGACTGGAATTCCATGGATACTGCTTAAGAGGACCAGGTCCATTCAGCTTCCTATTCACTGCTAAAGGATCCTCTTCATCTGAGAACACCTCAGCTCATTCCATATATGCTGCCTTAACATGTTGTGGGGGTTCCACTGAGTTCCATTTACCTCTTCCTGGGCAATGACAGTCTGACTGAAAAACTGCTGGAGGTGCTCGTTGGCAAAGTTGATGCAGAGCTGCTCCAAGCTGTTCAACCCGAGATCCTGCAAAGACAGAAAAGGATAATCCTTTCCAACACCCAGCCCAGCCACGGACCTGTGGCTTCCTGTAAATGCTGCACAGCCTCAGCTGGTGCTGAGCTGAGCTGCTGGTTCAGGCAGCTGTTTCTGATCAGTGTGAATGAACCCCAGAAGTTCAAATCAACTTCTGTCTCATCTGTAAGATCTCAGCCTGGTTTATTGACTAGGCTGAACAGCAAGAGGCAAGACAAGCTGTGAAGGAGCATGAAGAAGAAGAGATCTCTTCTCTGCACAGCCCCACCTACATATTCCATTGTTTTCATTCCCTTGTTCCTTGAGACACAGATTTTAACAGGAGTCCTAAGCAAAAAACTCAGAGGCATTGATAAGCACTCACAGCCCAGACCACAGCAAAAGAACAGGCAAAGTAACCTCAAAACCATGTATGTCCACAATTCCCACGGCACAGTCTGATTCCCAGGGAGCCAACCACTCGTTGATCCTCAGCAGCAGCCACTCAAAAAGCAGGTAGTACAGGGTCTTGGCAATGGAGTCCCTGAGGGGGAGAGGGCAGTAAAACCAATTACTGCAAAGACTCCTGGGAGCATCTCACCAACCCAGGCAACAGCAGAAGTCACCTGGCATCGATGGCTCCTTCTACAGACAGAGGGGTGAAGATCCGATCATAAGATGTCACCTGGATACATAGAGAGCCAGAATTTACTGTTATTAACTCACAAATACACCTTTTTTTTTTTTTTTTAACTCACAAATACACCTTTTTTTTTCTTTTTCTTTTTTTTTTTTGTTTTAAATCCACAAGGAAAACAACCCAACTAACAAATTGATTCTTTGGGTTTTTTTTCCTATTTGGCCTGAGAATTTACCCAGGTATCAAAGGCAAAAGCAAAACGAGAATTTTGCTGCCACATTTCTGGGGGCAACTCAGCTGGCCAAACTGATAAGCCTGAAGCCACTTCATGTCAGCAAAGAGACTTCCTGGATGTGAGTTCTGGCATCTTTACAGAGCTGCCTTGAGGGATTCAGCTCATTCTAACCATTTTACTTGTCCTGTTCCCTCCCAGATTTTGGGCCTTCTCAGGTGGTGGCCCTTCTGTTGACAGAGCATTGGACATCCTGTGCTTCAGGATGAACAAGAAATCACCAAGAAGGTACTCACAGTGACACGGTGAGTGACAGCACTTTGCAGGAAATCTGCTGAGACACACAACAAATTGGCCACAATCTGGATCTCAGTGTCACTGGCAATGGCAGCGTGTTCATAAGATTCTTTCTAAACAAAAGAGAACAACAGATTCATCTGTGGATGGAATACAAGTCCCACTGGTATCAATATTCTCAACAGCACCTCAGCTGCACAGAGCTGGTCACAACAAAAAACAACCCGGGTAAGACACCAGGTTTATTTTGGCTCCTCAAAGAGCCACTCAAGCTCTAATGACCTTTGCTTGCCTCCCATTTCTGTCCCTGCCTAGGTCAGTTCAGAGCCCAACATAAAAAGAACAGAATAGTCTTCAAAAGACGTCTTCAGTCAGGAATAATGTCCCTGGTCCCATCATGTGGGATAACAGCAACGTTCAGCACACATAACCCATTCCCAAGCTGCCAAGGGTGAGGTACCTCGCAGGAGGTAAAGCAGATGTTCCCCAGCTGCAGAATGGCAGCCAGGACAGCCCAGGTGGAGTTTAGCTGGTCCTCAGAGAGGCAGATCCCCTCCAGAGCTTGCACCAAGACCAGAAAGTCCTGACTGTCCTCCTTCCCCAGGATGTCACATGCTCTGCCCTGAGAGGAAAGGGACAAATAATCCTGATCAGCCTCTTTTGCCCCTGGCTGGAGCTGAGCCACCAGCAGCAAACTTCAGAGTAGTTCAGTGTTTTAAGAACTGGAGGAATCTGAAACAAAAAGACCAAAGGCGCCACTAGTGGGAGCTCAGCATTTGTGATGGACCAGTCTCTCTCCTCTCTGGAGTTCTTGAGAGTGAGATCTCTCTTGCCCTCACATGCTAAGTTTCTGTTATGGTTCCAGTACAAGCACCCCAGCTCCCCCTTGCCCACTGCTGGGGTGCAGCTTGAGAGAAGAAGGGATGCCAGAATCGACTCCAAATAAGTCATGGCAGAATCACCACCCCAGATTGTACCAGGGCCTAATGTGTCAAGGCAAATGGGGATCTGTGCACCCTGAGAGCCACCCTATGTTACAGCCTGTCTCATCTCTGCCTCAGAGCTTCACTACAACACGGCCTTATCATGTTTCTGCTTCTTGAGCTTATCTCTACAGGACACTCCTAACAACAGCCCTAAAGTTCACAGAAATCCTGGGTCGGGCTGGGGGGGACTGTGGAACCTGTTTGTGTACAAGGGCATTCTTTGATCAAGGTTTCAAGCTACTCTCAGATTCCAATGAGACAAGGATGAGGTCCAGGCAGCCCCTGGGCCAAGATCAAGATCCAAGAGAGATTTTGTCAGTCTCTGCCAACTTCTTTGTGCATAATCTGATCTTTTTTCCTTTCTTTCTCTGCAGCCGACGGAGACATTCCTGTTAACTATCACCTTGAAGCGTTTGGTTTACAACGCTTTGCCAGCCAGGAACGTCACCCATCAAGGGATGGGCCCCTAATTGCCCTCCATCCTTGAGTCATTATTGGTACTTGTCCATTCCTTGCCTGAAGGCAAGATGATAGCAATCACCATCGAGGATTCCTCACACGACCACAGCTGCTGTGAAGAGCTGCTGCTCCCACCTGGGAAAGCTGACTCACACGGCTGAAATAGGAAAGATCTCTTGCTGCTTCTGTGAACTCCTTGAGTGTGGAAAACAAAACAAAACAAACCCCAACAAACAAGCAAACAAAACAAACAACCTCCCAAAACGCAATCAGACAAAACCAAAACTTGTTTCAAGATTATGACTTGACGTAAGCAAACAATTTTCCAACTTAAATAACTGTACATTTCAGAGGTTCAAAATTTGCACTCGTTGACTCAGGCAATGCAGCAAGTTTTTTGCAGTAGGTAGAAAGAAATATCCCCCATTCTTTGCAGTCCCACAATAAACTGCAAATGCAAGGAAAGGAAACGAGGAAAGGATTTTTTCACCACACGATGGAGCCACGGGTTTACACAACGACTCCTTTTTAAAATGTTTTGCTTAGGAGCAGAAGGGGCCTGAAAGGTGAGAAAAGAATCACGGAAGAGAAAAGGTATTGCTTCTTCAGTCAGGTGTGGGAAGGAACAGAGCAGACTTTAGCATGTCCTTTGAAGGACACATTAGCAGGGAAGCAAAGTTAGTAAGTGTCTCACTGCCCAAACAGAAGTGATGTCTTGGCCATTTCACTGCATCAGCTGCTGCAGAGCATCCTCAGCTCACTCACCTGATTCAGGTAAAAGTAAGACTCTGCCTCTTGCAAGTACATCTCCTCCTTCTGCTCCATGGGCAGCCCAGCCAGCAGCTCATAAAACACGTGGTAGTTCCTCTCACCATGGGCCTGACAGGGGACACATTCACAGAGTTGACTCATGTCCAGCTCCAAACCCCTACAGAATACACTCAAAGAGCAGGACACAGACTCTGAAGTCAGCAAGACAAGGCCAGAACCATTTAATTTGGAAAGTTTCCAGGTTTTCTCGTTGACACCTTAGGAACATTCTATCTAAGAGCAGTCCTTTTCACACAGCTACAATATTTGACCTTTCCCACACTCCAGAGATAAAGAAAAATGAGTTGAGGAAAGATTTAACTCTCAGTAATCCCTAATAAATGGCTTCATTCAAGCTCTTTGAGACAGAGAGACCTTCTATTTTATCCAAATAAAATAAGTGATCACCCTGTGCTACACAGAGGGGACATATTTCTTGTTCTCTTGAAATGGGAGGCAATTCTCATACTTCTTCCTATTCCTGTTACTCAACAGTAAGTTTAAGATTAAATATCAGTAAGGGAGAGAGGGAGTCACTGGCCCTCACCTGAAATACCACTCGAGACTTCTCCAGCAGGTACTGGGAGATGGATGTTCCCACCACGACGCCACTGAGCATAAGACAACAACAGCTCCTGTCAGAGGCTAGGAACAGGTTTTCTGCAGATCACTGTCTCTGTAGATAAGAATGATCTAAGGGGTGTAGTCTACATGAATTTCCAAAATATTTTGACAAAGGTGTGAGACTTTCAGGGAAACCAAGCAACCACAGCATAAGAGGGAAGGTCCTGACATGGGAGTAAAGGGGAATCTTGTTAACTGTGTGAGGTAACCATTAGAATTCCACAAAGTGTCTGTGCCTGACCAGTAACTGAGGGTTTGATAAATGACCTAAAAGAGCAGCTGAACAACAATGTGACAAAGCTTCCTGTTTGTATGAAATGATTCAAGGCAGTGAAGATAAAAGCCAACTGTCAATAAATGCAGATAGACTTTAGAATACAGAGTGGGCAAGAAAATGGCACATGAAATCCACTGCAGACAAATGTAAAGTGATGGATGCAGGCCCAGCGTCACACATAAACACACAGCCTCCAAATTAACCACTGCTTCCCTAGGACTGAGACCTGAGGGTTGTGGCAGACAGTTACATGAGAGAATCAGCTCAGTGCTTGGCAACAGCCAGAAAACAACCCAAGCAAACAAACCAAACACAGAGGTTAGAAAGGAGGCAGGTTCTAAACAGAAAGGTATTTTTCACAGAACTGGTTAGACCTGTGGAACGCTTGTCAAAGGCTGTTGCAGATGCATGAAGTTTGTATGAGTCCAAGAAACTGGAAAACCTCAAGAGACTCGGGAAAACTCCTGAGCTGCTGCAAATGGTCAAGGGCTCACAGAGTGTTAGAGGAAAGTGTTGTAGGTATTTGGCCTGTTCTTGTCTCAGTCAGAGCTTGTGGCCCATGCTGGGGACACCACACTGTATTAGGTGGCTTCTTGGTATAACCAGTTCAGCCATCCTTATGTTCTTAATTTAACACTCATCTTGAGAAGCAAGATCCATTCTTTTGTGGAGGAAAGCAAGATCCATTCTTTTGTGGAGGAAACCTAAGGGCAAAATAGGGGTGTAAACTCACCCTCTTCCTACCCTGATGATAACAGGAGTGAAGGGGAGGGAGGGTTATTTCCTGAGCCCCAAGCACTGCTCAACCTTTCCTCACCCAGGCACCCTTCAGCAGTGCAAGGAAACACCCACAGTGTTTCTTCAACTCACTGTCGCAGGTGGACGTTCAGAAGCTTTCCAAAACGGCTTGAGTTGTCGTTGAGGATGGTTCTGGCATTTCCAAAACTCTCCAGGATGGGTAGGACATTGCAGGGCTTGAAGAAAAGAGGGAGATGACACTTCAGTAGCAACCACAGGTTTTTAAACAGAACGGGGCTTAAGTAACTATTAGTTTGTAAATCTAAGAAAAATGGGACTTCAGTGATATAATTCTTGTCTGAATAAAAAGTCTCTTTTTAAATGTATCTTGGTATCATTATCTCTAGCCAGCAGCAAGTTGCTCTGTGGGCTCTTTATGATCTTTCACTTTCCTTCTGCTCTGTGTTTGTTCAGATTCACCTCCCAGACTCTGATATAAGCTCTCTAGGGCAGGTATCATCTCTCTGTTCAAAAAGATACACCACTCTAGACAGCACCAGACCTCAAGGATTTTAATATACAGAACTACACCAGCTCTCCTCATGTCTTTATGGGAGCTTCACCTTGGACCACAAGCCATCCAAAGTCCAGCTCAGCTGAACAGGAATAAAGAAATAACATCAGCCTGGCCTCTCTCTCCTGTCTTTGGCTTCTTTTCCTTGCCCAACCACCACAGCATCCAGCGAACCTCTGTTATCCCTTACCTGTCTGATCCTGTGGCTGTCTGATCTCTGGTACAGCAGGGTCAGGTATTGCACAATTGCTTTGGCAGCTTCTGTTTTACCTGATCCACTGTGTCCACTGGAGGAACAAGAGGTAAGGAAGCTGGTATCAAAATAGAGTTACCTAATCTGGACACACCAGAGCCCTGTTACAGCAAATCAGTGGGGTTGTACTGATTTACAACTGAAGATCTATCACCTAGTGCTTGAAACACTGAGACAACTTGACAAAATGGTGTCAGATAAGATTCCACTGTGGAATGCCAAACGCCTTCTCTTCCACTCCTCTGAACTGATGTGAAAGTAAATATAAACCATTTTTGCACAGAGTGAAACAAAAATCCACCTTATTCAGGTTCTCTACTGAGAGCCCTGACACAAGAGCCAGAATGATCAACTTAAAAAGATGAAAGTTTTACATAAAGAAATTAGGAGGCCTTCAGGAAAGTACCTGATTTCCTACCTGATGATGACACACTGCTCCTGCCCTGACGACTGGGACAGTGTGTAGGCCATTTCTGCTATGGCAAAGACGTGTCTGCATGGACAGAAAGAAACCCCCCATCAACTGACCTCACATTTCTACCTCACAAACACAGCACCAAAAGGTTACTCATCAGGGATCTGCATTAGACACAGGTCCAAGCAACTATAACTTTGCCAAATGGGTTGTTCACTTTCTGTGACATTCATCCTGCTCTACCACACAACTGGAGGAACATAAAATATGCTCTGGAGCACAAATGGAACAGGGTTTAGGGAGTTATTCAAGAAAGAGGAACATACGGGGCATTTTTTGAGAGAGTCCCCTGATGGTACTGGGTAGCCACATCTTCAGAGTAGATACTCAGGTCTTTGAAAGGATTCACAGAAACCAAAATTTGCCCAATGTAAGTCTAGGACAAAAATAAGAAAGGGGTAAAAAGTCTGGTGGCTTCTCAGAATTTTCTGAATGAGGAATGCAACTGAACACATATATTAATACAAAGATTTAAATGCCCTTTAAAAGGATACTGTCTATTCTGACTATACTGTCATCTTATCCAGGGCACGGTTTTTCAGTGTCATTTTCAAAGCTCTGTCATTAATAATTTGGGATAAGTGAGCACTCACTGGTCCGTGGTCATCTTCTCTGGCCACTGTCTATTCTCCCAGCTCCACATGAAATTACAGGCACAGGTTTGAACACCTGAGCCAGTAAGTGAAAAAAAGAGAACAATCAGCCATCCAGAACCAGATCTGGACTGCAACATTGTGAAATGTTTGCAGAAACTTCTCAAGATCCGCAATTTTTTACTCAGAACTGCTTTGTTAAGATAGGAGAGTCCCACTAGGAGCAGCTGACGCTAAAATGGAACCCAAGTATACTCACAGGATGCCAATGAATAGCAAAATTACAGAGAAGCTCTGAAACTTTCTGATGTTACCCCCAATATTTCACGTTATCTGCCTTCTGAGCAAAAGCTGTGTGAGTATCCTTTTTATCACTTTAATGAACGAGCTCTTGAGCTACTTGGTGCACTATTAAAGCTTGATGGAATAATATCAGTTATTTTCTCTTACAGCTCATTGTTCAGAATGAATAAGTACTGAAGAAAACCAAACCAAACCAAACATCACCCCCTACAGTTTATCTCATACATAAATGAGATTGCGGTGGAACCTCTTCTTCAGGCAGAGCAGGACTGAGCTCTCAGAGACTTCCCTACAAATAGAAGAAAGGACTGGTCAGATATAAGCTTCACTTGCATGTGTTAATAGTAGCCTTACTCAGCTATGATATGCATCAAATTAATTCTGTTTCCTCCCATGGTAGCCCAAGATCTATAACATGCTTTCTGTCGTTGAGCCAACTTTGAAGGATAACAATCAAGCCCCTGTGACCTGAACTAGTGCAGAATGTTACTGAGGACACATACTCCAGCCTGGTTAGATCTTCAATCTCCTCAACTTCTGCACAGGGGTCTTCACACCTGTACACCTGAAATGCACAGACACATTACTGACAATCAGCAGAAGTTCAGTTTCATTCCAGTACCGGAGACAGCACCTGTACCTGTTTCTGCATGAACTCCATCTCTAGCACATCGTCAGTGGCATCTTCTGCCTCCCACTGCTCCTTGCAGACCTTCCTCACGCGGCTGCTGGCCAGCTGTGGGTCCCTGTAGATGGCCCACTTGCTCAGGTTCTCGATGGTCAGGCGTGGCAGCAGCAGCTCGGAGTTCAGCCACGCTGCAGGGTCACAGCCCTGGGCCTGCTGCTGAGACCAGTGAACACCAGGCGTGACCACGGACCCTGCAGTCTGGAGGACACCCGAGCCTCCTTTGACATCCACCTCACTGGAATAATCTGATGTCCATATTGGATCCTCTTCATGCAGAAGGAAGCCCTGTCTGCTGTTTCTCTGGCTTTGACCCACCAAAGATCTGTGAAGGTCACATTTGAATCCGCTACCCTGTTGCACAGGTGTGACAGATTTTCTGTCTGATAGAGATCTCAGTTTTTCTAGGGAACAACCCTTCCCAGAGCCCCTGGATAAGGAGTTTTTAGCCTTAACCAAGCTGTGGACTCTGGGGAATACTATAGCAAACTTGGCATCAGTAGCATTGCTCTTCTCCTCATCCAAGCATGGAGAGGAACTGCTTCCACGAAGAGGGGAATCACTAGAAGGCAAATCAACGTGTCCCACTTCCTCTGCCATTTTAGGACCGCTTTTGCCCTCCAATAATGGAGGAGAAGATTCCTTGTCCCTCGGCTCAGCCCTCCCGAGCTGTCCAGCTGCACCAGGGAAGGCTTTGCCCGACCGACCAACCCACCCAGCAGTGCTCAGAAGCCGGATTGCCATTCTGCTTCTGAATCCAAAAGGTCTGCTGCTCTTCTTCCTCTTCCCAAACTTCTTCAAGAGCCATCTTGAAATACCAATTGCACGTGCCACGCTCAGCAGACGAGCTTTCAGCCTTGATTTCTTGGCAGTTTTTTGCCCAAGCCAGCTGGTGACTTTTCTAAAAGTAGAATGAGTGTGCAAGTGCTTGGATCCTTTCCAATCATGCCCATGTTCTGTTTCAGAAGGTGCCTCTGCAAGCACTTCTGCTTTCTCTTCTTTTGCCTCTGAAGTCTGGCCTGAACTCAGTTTAACTTTTCCAGTAACTTTTCCAACTTTCTTCTTCTTTCCAAGGAGCTGCTTATCAGATGATTTTTTAACAATCATGGAGCAGCTTGAAGTATTTAATCTTTTCTCTCCAAAACTTTGAGTTATGTCAGGTTCTTTTTGTTTACTGAGGGTTTCTAGAGTCATGGGTTTTGAACCGGTGCTTTCAACATTTTTCAGGTCTGAGTTGGTTCCCAAAGCCATCTGGACAGGATTCGGTTTACAGCTTGGTAATAGTTTGGTCTCAGCATTTTTATGTTTCTTTTTCAGACTGAGAGGGATTTGGGATTGAGAACTTTTCTTTGTGAGCATCATCGCTGCTAATTCCTGCTTGCTGCAGTCTGATGAACTGTCCCTCTGTCCATGTGCTACCTCTTCACCTTGTTGTGCAATCTCACACCTCCCAGACTTCTCCCTCAGAGTCCTTTGCTGTTTGGAGAGCAAAGGGCTGTCTTCCAGCACACTGCCTTCATTGTTCACCATCTCCTCCTGTTCAGATCCTTGATGTGCTTTGCTAAGGCCAACATGGAGTTTTGCTTTCACAGCACTTGGCAGGGGTTTTGTTGCATTTTCCTTCCCTTCATCAGTGGTCTCTTCAGTTCTGTTCTCCCCAACACTGACAGAATTTATATGCCCCTCCTTAGATATATCTTGAACTCTCTCATTTTCTAGTGTATTTTCCTTGTCTGCTTCATTATTTTCTCTGTTCTTAAGACTCTTAACTTGGAATTCTGAAGTGTTTACCTCATCATCCGCCCCACTGTCCTCAGCTAGAACACATTTTGGTTGTGTTGGCATGTCGTCTTGCTTCTTCATCTTCTCTTCTGCTTCCAACCCTGCACATTCAGTGCCTTCATCCTCAGATTCAATTTTTCCATCTGTGGTTTCCTGTTCCCTTTCAGGTTCAATAGGTGCTTCATTGCTTTCATCAACCACTTCCTTGTAGCCTTTGCCTTCAGTCACAGGAGGACCTTCGAGCACGGCTTCTTTCTCACTGCTGCCATCTTCCTCTTCTGAACTGCTCCTCTCTTCTGAACTACCCTTCTCTTCTGAAGAACTGCTCTTCTCTTCTGAACTGTTCCTCTGTTCTGAAGAACTACCCTTCTCTTCTGAACTGCTCTTCTCTTCTGAAGAGCTGCTCTTCTCCTCACTGCTGGAAGTGCTGCCCACTACAGTCTCTTTTGTACCCATTTCTTGGGTCCCATGGCCTTCACTGCTGGAGTCAGAGCAGGAGTTACCTGAGGTTTCCAGGAAATTTTCTTCTTCACTTTCAGTGATGACAATCCTGGCACATTTTTCAGCTTTCTTTTTCCCAGTCCTCTCACCTTTTCCCTGTGCTGTACTGCCTTGGGATTGAGGACTTGACTTCTGCCCAGAAGCCTCCTTAAAGCCCTGTTTCCCTCTGTGCTTTCCCCTGAGGTTCTGTGCCTTTTCTGGTGGGTTCTGTTTCCGAAAAGAGCCTTCAGCACTTTGCTCTGCAATTGCCTTTATAGACTCCAAGTCAGTGACTTTTCCCCTGACACCAACACGCTTTCCACACTTCTTTTTAGAACTGTGTTTCTTGCTGTTTGTGGTGGATTTACCCTCCTTGTCACTGCTGTCCTCACTTTCCTGCCCTGATGTCCTTTCCTGTTGCTTGCAGGCCTTTTGTTTTTTCCCCTCCAACCTGGACATGACCCGTTCTCTATGTTTTCTTCCCAAGCCGGATTCACTTTTATCATTTCTCTTGTAGGCTCTTTTCCCCTGGAATAATTTTTTGTGGCCATTTTCTTTGCTTCCCTGAAGCCTCCCCAGACTCTGGATTTTTAAGGGCTCTTCTTCAAGGGTGTCACCTTGTCCAGGCAGTGACTCTTTGTCCTTCAGTTGCCTTCTACTCTTCCCTTCCCTCTGCCTCCCACAGCGGATTTTTGAGTCCCCTGGGGAGCTCATGTTTTTCTCACAATTCAACACTTTCTCTTTTCCAGCCCTTTTCTGCCGAGTCTTGGATCGGGAAGGAGGCATTTCTCCAGCGTTCAGGAGTATGTGAGGGTTTATCTCAATTCACCTATGAAAGGAAACATTGTGCATTTTGCTGTGAAATCAGCTACAAAGGGAGGCCAGATCTTCCCAAGCACTAATTTACCTTGTTTCTATAGAGCCAAATGTCTGCAGAATCTCACCTGTGCCAAACCGACTGTCCTGTTCCAGGTTAAGCTCTGGTTTATTTTGTCATGAATCACCCTGATTTTCTTTTTTTTTGTTAAGACTTTTGCCACAGGCAACTGTCCATAATTTTCTACAGTTGACAAAGATTTGGCCACACTGCAGTTTAAAAAATAATGATTATTTATTTCAGGTTTTGCTTCACTTTTGCTTTTATAGTATGCAGGCTACAAGCCCAGAAGAGTTCTGGACAAGGTTTGTTGAAACTTGCTTCCATCCACAGGCATCTCCCCGCCCTAAAGGGGATGGGGAAAGAGCACACAGTCAAGATTGCTATTCAGCAAGCTTTAAAGCTTTAAAGCTTTGCAGGTGCTGTAAAGTCTGACAAGGAGTGAGAATTTTTAGCATTTAGTACCTCAGGAAGGCAGCCTACTGAATTTTTAGCATTTAGTACCTTCAGCCTACTCTGCTGGAAGGAAATGCAACCGTTCTCCAGGACATCTAATGACCTGCTTGCAGACTGAAACTTGTCCAAGCATCCTTAAAAGTCATTAAAATAAAATTTTTTAAAAGGCCATTGAAAAATACATTCCAGTACTCTGAGAGCAAACCAGCAAGAAACAACTGTGTGAATCAAAGTTTGCCTCACCTCAGTCACTCCAAGGAGGGGCAGCAAAACCCCATTTCAGATTTACACAATCCAGGAAGGCTGATGCTCCAAAAAAAAAAAGCCCACTTGGTGTGTGTAAGGCACATGGTCTTATTGCAAATGTTGGGGTTTTTTTCTCTGTACTACCCATTTTGTACTCTTCTGCACGACAGAACAATCTGCAATGGGGAACACACAGACAGCATCTCCCTTTTCCCCAGCTGCAGCTCTGACACTGAAGCAAAAAGCTGCTGCCCTGAGAGCAGTTACATACAGTTAAGGGTTCCTCAACAGTGTCTTTAGGGTTCCCTCTAAACTAACTTTTTTACTCTGGTCTAGAGTTAAAACATCTCAGACACATATGTTGCACAGTGCAGAGTTCATCTCTTAACACCAAATCCTCTTCCATCCCTCTCTTTAAACAGAACTCTCTAAATTACGTAGGTGTCTGGTCACCTTATTTCAGCCCTCCTCCTCCCCTCCCCACTTAATACCCCAATATTAGTGGCCTAGATCTCTAAATCCTGCAAAAAGACTTTTGTTGCTGAGATTAATGGCAGCTGAATTAGGCCCTAAATCCTCAGTACAGAATAGTTGTTAATATTCTGTTCTCCTGGGGGCTTAAAGTTGATACAGCTTCTCTACAGTGCCAAAAGCAGGAGAAAATAATAAAAGTCTGCTTTTATGTGCTGTTGCTAGATAGTCATGTGTCTGGAGAGCTGAAGTCTTCCACAAAACAAAAATGCTGCAATTCTTGGATGATGGGGAAGGTCAGGAACACAGCCCAAATTTGTAGGGAGCTTGGACACAGGACTTTGGTTTGACTCCCTGTAAAGACGGGACCCCAGACCGAATCTAGGTTAGAAAGTGAAAAACTAGAGTTCACAATTCTTCTGAGACAGGGTTTTAGAGCAGATTGGTTTGTAACACCACTATTATTACTGGGAATGGGAAGATGAATCACTGCTTATATAAACAATTCCTTTGACATCAGACCTGCTCTGATTAACTGCCCTGGACCATCTGGAGCAGGTGAAAGATCCTGCTCATCAGTTTTTCAGCACCCCTCACTAACACCAACTTCATCTAAATCACCACAGGAAAAAGAACAATATGATTTCATTCTTCCTTTTCAGAAGAAATAACTTACATCAGAGAAAAAGAGAACCCCGGTGCTGTTAAGAAACAGAGCATGAACCTACAGATAAAAAGAGCAAAAAGCTCATGCTGCTATTTTAAAATCAGTAGGGAATTGTCCCGTCTTCCCTAAACACAGTGGTTTCTCCCAACTCACAGAGAGGAAAAGTACAATCATTAGTCCTAAAGGGACATACTTGGAACTTAATTCTTAAGTTTCTATTTTCATTCACCTGTAGAAATTGCTCAAAGTCCTTCTTTTTATCACTCTGCAAACAGTAATTTTTGCAACGTACCTACACTGTCCGCCCTGATTCCGTTGAATCCCCAGTATTATAGGTCACATCCATGTAATGGCAACATATTCCTTCTCCTGTGCCTTGTTTCCACGCAGCCCAGAGTCTGTTCCAGCCTCCTTGCAAGCCTTCCCAGCTGTGGAGTCTGACATGGATTCTGGCTGGGCTGCGTCCCAACAGCAGATGATTACAGGTATATGGAAGGAAAGTGGCATTAATTATTCAAGCTTTCTCGTGGTACCTTTGAACTTTTCAACCAGCAACATCACCAGCTGGTTGGCAGAGTTTGGGATAAAAGAAGAGGTGGGATTTCACCTAGGCAAGAGACAGGCTCAGATGTGGTATGATGAGGTGCATCCCCAAAGACAGACTGACAAGGAGAGGTCAATTCCAATACCAAAACACATCTGCTATGATATGGGCAAGAGACTACCAGACAAGGCACAGTGAATACTACCTTGAAACAAGCTTAGGCCAGTAAAAGGGATTAAATCATAGGCCCCTTTCTTCTGCATCCCTGGAGTTTTATTCCAGGGAGCCAAGCACGGATAGCTCAGCCCCTGCTCCCTTCTCCTTGCCAATACCAAGCCCTCTGCTGACAACAAGAAAGTAGTTTCCAGCTCGGCACTGAAAAGACAGCAAAACTGGCACCAGTTTTGCCCTCATTATGCCTAAATCTCAGTCCAAATCAAGCAGAATGACTAAATCTCCTTTCAGCTCGAATTTCCAAATAAAGCCATTCTCCCCTTGCTTGCAGACAGGTCGGGGTTACTCACAGCAGGTGATGGTGTCCCTGCAGTGCTGCTGGCTAAGTCAGTGGTGGGTTTCCCCTGCCTAGGTTGCTCTCAGGAAACCAGGTAAGAGAGCAAACACAAATGCACAGTCTGGTCTGTACGTGCAGCCTCCCCCTGTGCTCACCAGGCTGCAAAGGGACAACACAGTCAGTGCAGATTTAACTACTCCGAGGGTGTCCCTGGTTCTTTAAGGTTTCCCACTCCCAAAAAGCCTTTCCAGAGACGGTGGAGATTAAACAAGATAAACTCAGGTGTGGCCAGCCAGCAGAACAAGTGACCCAAACATAAAATGTGATGAGTGCTGTTAAGATAAGATTTCAGAAGTTCAGCAGCTTTAGTTTGGGTGGGACCTGTTTGTCTATCTCCTTCCAAGAGCCCGTGGCTACTATGTACTGTACCTTGAGGGCTCCTTCACCAAGAAGCAAAGATAAAAACCGGGGGTTGAGCTGGAGAACTTAAACACTGCACCTAAGCTTTTCCTCACTGGATGGTCCACTTCTCTTAGTTAACTCTTTCATCCTGTTCTTTTATGAACTGTTTACAAAAAACTTTCTGCAAAGAGGAGACCTCTCCTGTAAAGCCCAGAATTACTGATGCCATCTGGATCATGAATTCCTTAAGGACTCTTGGGAAAAACCCCCCGGGGCTTTTAGCTCTAAGCTTTTAATGTGGGTATGGCAGGGAGGAGAAACTGCTCTGAAAAATCCAACTCCTCACAGCTTCTGAGGAGAAAGTGGCTCTAACAAATGTCATTATCAGCTGGAGCCTCTTCAAGGCTCTGCATAGCCCAGGCAGAACCAGAGCCCTCTGCTTCTTTGATTTCTTTGATTTGTCAGAAGTCTCAGATGTCAGATTGGGTTTTGCCCAGGGATGGCCAAGATGAAGCCACTGATCATGTTCACTTTCTTATCAGACTCCTGTCTGCTCTGAGCTACAGTGAGATGAGAAAGGCTGAATGGCTGCTGTGCAGACAATCCCTCCCCACCTCAATCTCAAGCCTGAGCCTCAGCACCTCTAACCTGAATTCTCTTCACACACTGAACACTACCGTTTGTTTGCCTTTTAAAGTGATCCTGGCATGATGCTGTCAGGGAAAGGGAGATAAGCACCAGGAAAGATGAAACCCTTCCAGATTTCAGCAGACTGGACAGTGGAGTTTCCCGGAGATTCCTTCATTTATGCAAAATATCAGGTCCTTTCATCTAGTATTGAGCCACTATGATTTTAAAATGTTATTTGAGAGTGATAACACATCAGACCCACCTTTTCACCGTAAATTCCTCTGAAGTCAACCACATAAAATAAAAGCACTGATGCTATTGCAGAAAAGAGATACAAAAAGGTAACTCAATTTTTTAAAATTACTAAATCACATGAATAAAAGAGCAGAAACTGGTTGTGATTGATCAGAAAAAAAAGACACTTTGCATAAATTCAAAACCACCTTGTTTGTTTGGTAGTGGTTCAGGTAAGGAGACTGGTCAAAGTTATTCTTAGGAACATCTGTCTTTATGATTAAACTTGCATAAATGTATAAATGGGGTCTCCTCTTGGTTTCATTCTATTCAAGTAGAATTGACACTCCAGTCAGGACCCTGCAGCCTGTAAGACTGGTTTAAAAATATCTTCCTCTTTTTTGCATTTTCTCCCCACCACAGTTGCATTGCATTAATATAAAATATCTCCACTGTTGTTTCCATATCATATCATATGCTGCCTCATTTTGACAGAAAACATTCTCCCTTGAGCCTGTACCCAGGCTGCTGAGAGAGAATTCCTGACCTTTCATTCCTGACCTCTCACTGTTTCAAACTGGTGAGGCCTCTGCTCTTTTCCTCCAGCTATTTTAAGATGATCTAGAAGGTCTCCAAGGGCTTCTTCCCCGGCAATAACCTGAGGAAGCCAAATAAAGTATTCATGATTGCAAGGGGAAACCAAAACAATTAAGTTACATAGGTTTGAAAACAGCCTCCTTAAATATTT